GCTTGGCTGCGGGCATCGCAGCACAGGGGAGGCTGGAAACAGGCAGGTGGGCAGGAAATTCAGCATGAAAAGACGTTGCAAAGGGGATGCTCTGGCAGGACGAAGGACCAAGGCCGCTGCAGCCCAAGAGTGGATTGTTTTCCAAAAGCAGTTTCAGTTAAAAACACCAAACCCAGATGCAAACGTTATTTTATAGACGGAGAACCACACCCTGCGCTGCTCAAACCTCCGCGGCACCAGGAAGCTCGTGCCGACGGCTGCGGCGTCGCAGCAGAAATCTCTGCAGGCTCCCGCGCCGGCACGCAGCGTTGACACGGATCCGTTGGGGCATCGTGGCCAGGTCCTGCCCGGACCTGCACCGCGCTGCGCAGGGACGGGCACCAGCGCCGTCACCCACCGAGAGCACTGGGACTATCCGTAACCACATCCCTGCAGGCGACTGGGTGCACGGTCCTGCTGGAACGGGGCCAGCTCCGGCTTTCCTGCGTGATCCAGGCAGGAAAAATTCCCTCTGGTGGAGGGCAAACCCTTCTCAGCTCAGTTCTCCAGGACAGAAATGTCTCTGACCTCAGGCCATGTCGGAGAAGGACCTGACGTTCCCAGGAAACCCCAGGGCAGGGTTTATCCCCTTCTCTCTCTATCTTGCTGATAACTGCCTGGGATTTAATTTATCTCTGGGTTAATTGGCTCTAATTGCTACACCCAGCCTGCCCCATCACAACCGGAGGCTGAGGAGGGTTAACAGCCGCAGCCTGGAAGCCGCTGAGCCTTTTTTCCCGTCATCACCGAGGCCTCGGGGCTGGACGCGGCGCGATGCCACGCGGTGGGCAGGGTGAATCCTTGGTGCGATGCCACGAGGTGGGCAGGATGAGTTCATGGTGCGATGCCACAAGGTGGGCAGGATGAGTTCATGGTGCGATGCCACAAGGTGGGCAGGATGAGCCCTCGGTGTGATGCCACGAGGTGGGCAGGATGAGTCCCGCAGCCCCCCGGGAGGGTCAGGCACGGAAAATGCAGATGAGCACCTTTCAGCTGCATTTTTATCAGCGAACAAGAGCCCCAGCGAAGCCACCCTACGCAAGAAGACCCCAAGTCTTCTCTCCACGTGCCCTCCAACACCCACAAGAAGCTGGAGGTCCCAAAAAACCTGACGTCCTCCACGGGGCCGACAATCCATCCCAGCACTATCCGAGAGGCTGGAGGGGCCTCCCCACCACGCAGTGCCAGCCCCGGCACCCCGGGAGGCCGCACCTGCCTCCAGAAACCTCCCAGCTCCAGCAACCCCCAAAGGGCCTCCGATCTTGCTAAACATCCCTGATTTTGAAGGATGCAAGAGATAAACCGGGCTGTCACCTCCCGCTTCTCAGCTCAGGTGCGTTCCCACCTCCCAAGGAGGAGGAGGAGGAGGATGCCAGAGGGACGGGCGCTGGCCAAGCCCGTCGGGGATGCTCGGCGGGAGGCAGCAGCATGGCGTGCGCACGCTCCCCGGCGTGCCGGGCTGCTGGCAGCCGGACAAGGACAGACTG